GCCTTTTTGAATTGTTGTAAACATTATGCTATCGTTCCCCATTTCTGCAATCTAATGAGGAAGTGTCATTCGGACACAGTTAATGAATACTTTATCACGTCTCTATCCAGAAATTAGAGGAAAGTTACGAGACTGAGAGGCGTAAGCTATTAAAGTTTATATATCTCAAGTCATTTGCCTAAAGTGCCTATTAGAAATTTCAAGGAAAGATAGGCCTATCCCAAATCGCATGCATATTGGAATTCGGATTAATCGAGCATGAATTTGTCAGTTCAAATAAAAGTGTTATTTAATTTGATTTCACAACTAATATTAACTCTAAATAAGAATTTATATAGCTCAAATGATTTGATTTAAGCTTAGGACCAATATTTGAATTGTTCTTTTTGATTAAGTGTGTACTTCACACGATGCTATTAGATCGAATTTGGGTTCCTTATACTAAGATTTTCGCATATAAATATATGATTAACGATTTTACTTTATTGAAGAATAATAAACTTTAAATTATTTTGTTTAAGTTAATGCGGAGATTAGCAGAGTTTTGAAATGTCCGATTTGCTAAGGCAGCACTTTTCTAAGCACCTCCCTCCAAGGGCTTGGTACTACCTTTCCTTACTTATATTTTTTTTAAATTAGCAAACTTGGTGTTGATGTTTCGGACAAAGAGGATGCGTACGAACCCCTTGCTTGGTCTAATTTTTTTAACATTCGTGACGATATTGCACTTGAAAGTGGGGTAAGCTTGACTCCCTCCTGTTTTATGGGATCAGACATTTCGAATATATAGAAGAGGTGTCGAGGGTCCTCTTTTATTTTTTATTCATGGTGGAGGCTTCTCAGGGTTATCTTGGGCTCTCTTAAGCGTATTTTTTGTTATAGTTTATTATTTTAGTCCTTAATTACTGAAGAAGTAAAATGTCAATGTCTGGCAGTAGATATGCGAGGGCACGGTAAATTATATTTCCTGCTTAATGCTTATAGGTGATACAAACTGTCACGATGAAAACGATTTCTCTATTAATACTCTCGCGACGTATGATTTGTATTGATACTTAAACCTATTGTAGCGATGTAATTGAAATTATTTTTGCGATGTATCCCACAGAGGCACCCCCAATTATATTGGTTGGTCACAGGTACCGTTATTTTTATCTGATCTGTTTTTAGTATGGGAGGAGCGGTTGCGGTTCACGTAGCTAGTAAACGAATTGTCCCATCACTTGCGGGCGTGGTTGTCATTGACGTCGTGGAAGGTATAAATAACTCTCGATTATTTTATCCTAATGGAGAGATAAATTCTAATTTTGGGTTATTTTCTTCTGATAGGATCCGCTCTTGATGCCCTCTCAGGAATGATGAGTTTTCTTCGTGATCGTCCACAGAGCTTCCGT